ATTCATACAACCAAGAACCCCCCTCAAGGCTTGCAGTGGGGTTTGTATGCGGGTTGGCACGGTTTAGGAATTCAGGAAGTTAGAGCCCTGGGTTGGGGTTAAAGATCTTGTTTGGTTGTTGGAGCACAGGTGATGGCAGGTGCGGTGAAAGTCTGGGTTTAAGTTGGGGTGGAAGCGCTTATTCGAGGTGGCGCAAAGCAAAATGAGCAATCGGCAATAGACTCCGTACAGCCGGTATAATCTTGGACCCAGTACGTGTTTTGAAGTTTTGTGTTTACCTTGCAAAACGATCTGATGACGGCCAAAGGCGAGCAGTCTACGTAGATTATGACCTCCAGGTTCCCAGAATCCTGTGTAGCGAGGATCTCTTTGCAAAGTCTCCAAACTCTGCAAGACGATAAGGTGACCTTCCCAAAGCGATGAAACTTACAAACATTGGAAGGGTTGGTTCCAGGGTTTAGCCGCGGGCTTTTAGTCTATCCAGGGTGCAAAGTTGAAAGTTTGGGAGCAGGCTTTTCTGTGCGGAGGACACCAGCCTCAACGTCAGCGGCTGCGTCGGGACCGCTGCAGGAGACTCGTGCGAGGTCACCTGCAAGTGCCTGGCTGTACAATCAGCTACAGTCTAAACTCCTCAAAGGGGATTATATAGGGGGTTATATAGGGGGGCTATTATGGGGTTGTTTAGGGGGATACTAGGAGTTTAGACTATAGCTCAATCAGCTGGCGTGGGAGCTTTGTAGATGAATCCTAAAGCCCAACCCTCCTGCTCCCAGAGCCCCCTACTGAAATAGGAGTTTCCATTTTCTTTTCCATTGTCCCTATATAACCCCCCCAATCTAACAGCTATATAACCCCTATATATCATAGTGGTTTCCTTTGTCTTTTCCATTATCCCTATATATAACCCCTACATAACCTCAGGCCCCAGTCTTCTATCAAGGAAAGTTCATATAAAATTAGTTGATACTTAATTAAATGAATTAATCGAATTAATCCAGTAATTAATGTAATTCATTTTCGAATCAATTTTAAGCAAAAGAAATGTAATTAACGAATTAATTAACAGAACCGTTAGAACATGAATGAAAACCTAGGAAGTACTTAGTTAAGTACAGGAGTTCCGTTTTTCAAATTAGGGCCTTATTAGGGACTCTTCCTAATTAAGGCCTCATTAGAGACGAGTCCAAATTACGGACTGATTGGGGGCTATTGCTAATTAAGGATAAATTAGGGACTAGTCCAAAAAAGGGACTTATTAGGGACTATTGCTAAATAAGGCTTATTACGGAGGTTTAGGGTTTAGGGTTGGGGTTCAAAATATAAGTTTTAGTTTTAGGGTTTACAGCTTAGGGTTTAGGCCTTACAAGTAGGTACAGTACCTAATAACCCCCTTCGCTATTGGCCAGCCATGCTCCCCTATAGGCTTTTAATTCAGGCTTCACTCGGGCATTCAGAGAGCCTACTACTAAACCCTAAACCCTACATCCTAAACCCAAAACTCTACATCCTAAACCCAAAACCCGACATCCTAAACCCAAAGCCCGACATCCTAAACCCAAAACCCGACATCCTATGTAACCACACGAGGTATGGCTATGAAGGCAGCTCCTCAACATACGCCTGCAGATCTGATGGCATCTTCCAGGCCAGGTTCTTGGGTGGGGCTTGAAGTACACTTGCAAATGCTGGCGCGTTGGGAATGATGTAGAAGGAGTGTGGATGTTCTGACTACACTTGTCCTTCTGGAAATTCTGGCCAAGAAGCCATTCGCAAATAGGTTGCGCCGCTTGAGAAATCATTGGCAAGTCATTTCTGAGAGGCGAGAAGCCGCCCACAAATGGCTTTGGGGACCCAAAGCGCCATTGACAAATACAAGAAACAAGAAAACCCTCGCACGTGGTTTGGGGAGCCAAGATACCATTCGCAATTTTTTGGGGGCGCCGCGAAACCATTCGCAAGTGGTTTTGGGAAGTCGCGCCAGCATTCGCCAATGTTGCCTGGGAACTACTGTAAGAGCGCAGTCGCAAATCGTTTGGGAGCAGTTCCATCGTTGTTGTTCCACGCCCTTGTCCAAAAGGCGTTGTGCTGAACCGTAAGTCTCGTCTGTCACACTCTGACCTCTATACCATTATATTGGGGTGATATAGGGAAAATGGAAAAGGGGAAAGGGGTAATGGAAACGAGTCACCAAACTTGATACCTGCAACACGAACAGCGCACAGATCTTTCCGGGTTGGCAGGGCTCGTCGCCGAGCTGCGCGCGGAAAGAGTGTCAAGTGCCTTCCGCACTAACTACGGATCCATCCTTCGGGACAGACTGCCAGGGAGTATTGTGCCTGGCCTGTTTCAATACACCTGTTTGGGTTCATTTCAGATGACCTAGTTAAGGAGTCCGAAATTTTGTTTGTAATCAGCCTGCTCGATGAAAAGTAGACAAGGAAAACATCAGCTAGATGCGTGCTCAGTGATTTTGTAGGGTGTTGATTGTAGCTACGGCGAGATGGATGATTTAGGGACTGAATATGTTTATTCAAGATTGCCGTAAGATGTGCAGTGCTTGCTGTGCTTCTATTACCATGGTCTGGGTGAAAGGTCATGTGAGTCGCTGTCAGAACTAGGAAAATGAGAGAAGCATGTGTAAGGTTCTTATCAAGAACGTTTACATTGAGATATTTGCAATGGTGCGATTAGTCTTAGGATGCGTTCACTTTATAGCTATGACTCAGTTGAGCTTTGTTTTCTGCCATGTGGCTTGTGTATCGTGTTGCTATCAAACCATCTGAAGGCAAGCAAGGACGTGACAGGCCTGTATTTCTCCCCCCAGAATACCTGATGTCCCTGAAAGATTCCTAAGTGCGAGATGAGTGCAACCCAGACTTGTTCTGTTACGCAACAACCTAGTCTCTATGCACAATCGAGTTGGGCTGTAGCCACTCCAGGGATTAATCATACAGTTCCATGTAGCAGAAGCCTGCACTTGGCCACGAAAAAACCTTTTAGGGAATCGGAACGCCCGAATTCTGCGACCTATACCGAGTGAGCTTTTTGACATTTTAACCTTGTAAGATGATAGTTATTTGCCGAGGCCTGAAGTCTGAACCTCTGCATCTGAGGCATGGACAGGCATGCATGGCTACTTGTATGGTGGGCTACTCTGGGCCTCCCACGCAGCTCCTTTGCGACAACGGGCTGCTCGTGGGCCAGGCATTCAATGTACAATAGTTATGCAGGATTATTGGGGGTCAGAACAGCAGCTGAAGGAGGACACTTATGATACCAAACAGCCGAAAGTGTAGGGAGTGGCATGAACTGCATGTAAGAAGGGTGTTGTTGTGCTGTACCGTGCTGCGTCTGGTAGCGCTGCTGAGACTCCATCCGACGAGTGGGAGAAATGCAAGCGCATGCTAATCCGCAGCCTTTAGCTTTGGCGTACTGTAGGTTTGCTGAAGTGCACCCGGAAACTTTTGAAGATTCTTCCTAAGCGCCACGCTCTTATCCACAAGTTCAAACTGTGAGGCACCGAGCTGCGTGGGCCTTCCGTGCCAACTTACAGGTTTTGCCGTGCAGGAGGGCGTGAACACATCTGCATGCCACGGCATCACTACGGGTGGCCAGTGCGCCCTGCAGTGCGCTTTGGGATACCAAGGCAAGGAGTCTTTGAGTTGGGACCAGAAATTGGGTCATTGGGTTTCGGAAATGGTGCTCCGATTCTAGGTGCGGCCATATCATCTTCGCAATGGTTGGGATAATCACAGCTGCAGTTCCGCAACCGCCCCTCCATGCATCAAGAGACTGGCAGGTGTGGGCAATGCAGCCATGACTTGCAACAGTGACGGCACTTTCTCCCAAGCGGACGCAAGCTTTCAGTGCCAAGTCACAAGCTGCATGAATCTTTCCAGCATTCCTCCGTTTTCGGCGGCAAAGTTTGCGGACTCCTGTCAGGACGACTACTGATGCGCTGAGTTGTCATTGTTGCAACTCTTGCTGCTATGGTCTGTCCTCCTGCTCCTCCTCCTAATGCTCCTGCTGCTGCTCCTGCTTCTGCGCCTGCCACCGCCACCGCTGCCACTACCACCACCACCGCCACCACCACCACCACCACCACCGGCAGGAATTTCAGTTATGCGTCTGTTTGGGTTTTGGAGCCCGTCTTGCTGGCGTTTGCAGCACTTGCCCCATTCCCTACCTTGCTATTGTCTCCTCGTTTTCTCTCCGGTGAGGTGTCCTGGCTTGTTTTGTTTTGACTGCTTTTCTCTCCGTCCACAAGCACTTTGCACTCAGATTTGAAGCATGATTTAGGGTTGCACCTCTGTTAACAAATGATTGGCTTTCACACCTGCAGCTTGTGGGACTTTCTTATGAGAAGACCAGAAACACCGGTATTTACAGTCTCATATTCCAACACATGCATTACTACTACTGTCTGATTTCTTTGGTATTCCCTACTTCATGTACTATATACCGTATACCGCATAGCTTTCTGTTCCCTGCTGACACAAAGGACTTTTCATTTCAGAGGAGGTGTGAGTTCCTACTCTAAATTGGAATTAGATACAGCCTTACAGAGTTTACAATACATGGGCCTTTTGGGTCCCTGGCGTTAGTTAGGATCGTCTACAAGTGGCCTTCCACATTGCACTACTACGAGGATGAAAACTGAGCTGAGAGAATGAAGTCGTACAGTCATTTTTAAAGTTAGAGTTTAGGGTTCAGGCTTCACCATTATAGTTGTTGTTACTGTTATAACTATGAGAATAGTCAATGACATTTGTTGCGGCTGCTAGTACAAGCACTGACTCTTTCATCGTTTTCCACAACTTTTAACGCAATCGCCAGCACTGTTGCACAATTGCCTTAATTCTTCAAATCTGCATATTACCACCATCATCAAGACCAATGTTTGTTTGGTACTCGTATCGTTGTTGCTGTGAAGAGAGTTCTTACGGCAGGAGTTGCAATTCGGCCAGACATGCACGGCCTCTTGCTCAACAGGGTGGGACATGGTAGGAGATGCGAAAGTGGCTTGGTGGCAATTTGCTTCCACTGGCAATGAGGAATAATCCGAAATCGATGAGTGCATCTCTTTTCATGATAATTGTTTCTGAAGTTTCTTGGGGATTTTCCGCATGGGAGCCATTAAGAACAAGACACCGCCCCAGGTGATGTTGTGCTATGACACACCCGCCCACAGTGCTGGCTATGCGGAAGCTCAGACGCTCGTAGCAGCTGCCAACTCAAGTGGGCCAACTTGCATGGCGAAGGAACTGGAAAGTTCGAAACTTGGGGTATGGGGTTTAGGGTTTAGTTCATGGCTTAGGAATTGGGGCCATTTCGGTGCCTTGAAGCCTTGTGAAATTTTGGAGGTGTTTAGGGTTGCAGGGCTTGCACATTTCCGGGCTTTTAATGTTTTTGTTTTTACATTTCTAAGGCCGGATTCAAGCTTGGAGCCTTTGGACCAAACCACCCCTTTCACCCCCAAATCTTAAATCCTACATGGGGGTTTCCCAAAACGTGAGCAGTTCTGCTCACGGGAAGAAATATCTAGGGGTACCAAAATAGGATCCTAATTTGGGGAACTAACCTTATGTCCCTTTACATCCCCTACATCTCCCTATACGTTCCGGGATAACAAGGACTATATTAGGGTCCTCTCATATTCCTATTATACCACTATTATAGTGTGGGGTGTCCTCCTAACCTATTCCTCGGCTGAAGGCATGTACTACTGGCCTGCCTGACCTACTTGGTGTTGTGGACAACTGTTCTGGTCACTTGGCAGGGGGGGAGGTTTTCCATTCGGGGCCCCAATGTAGACCCTGATATGCTATAATCCTTATTTTGGGGACTCCCAAAAAGAGCCTCCTTACAGAAGCCTCCAAATTGGGCCGCAAGAGCTTAAAAGTGGAAGATCGACAAAAAAACAAGCCGTCAAGTTCGCCAAAGTGTTGCAGTGCAAAATTTGTCAGCTTGTCGAATCTTGTCGAAATGTACGAAGAACAGTGCCGCGACTTATGCTTAAACCTTTGAGATCTTCAGGGCGTCTTTAAACCTCAATGGAAACCCCAAGCTGCAAGCCCCCTCCAAGACGAATCTTCTAGCATATGTTAGCTAGCAGACTATCACTGTATTCATCGGTAACCTATGGTAGTACTATTTCCCCTACGCCATAAATTCTGCCTTCAAGGTGCAACAACCTTGCAGACCTGCAATTTGCAGCCCCAACTCGGCTTCACCTTCGAAAGCACCACGCTCGCTTGTGGCTTCTGCCCGGAAGTGCACGGTTTGGGATTCTTGTTACTTTCCTTACACCCTAAACCTTACCTTGAGTTTAGAGTCCGAAGCACTGCTACCTTTTTGTTACTGGGGGTTAGTAGGGAAGATGGGAATATATTATGTAGGGGCTACATAGGGATCAGATTCCCTAATTCCCTACTAAGGTCTTCCCGTTGTTCGGAGCTTGTTGTTTCATATCACATGGTATCATTATGTTGTTGTATTCTGCTATCTTCTTGTAGTATGTCCAGCCTCCAGCCGGAAAAAAATAACTTGAAGCAGCGATGCAGCAAAGGTGGGGTGGACGGAGAATTCACAGGCGTCCTTCCGGATCCCCAGGCTCCAAGGGGACAAGTAGTTTAAGGTTTAGGGTTTAGGGAGAGAGTCTAGGGTTAGAAGAACCATAGCAATAGTGAATCACAGGAATAACAGTAGCAATCAAGTGATAGTCGAAGCACCAGTAACTGGCAGTAAGGGTAACAACACTAACAACAGGAAGGAAGAAGAAGACGAACACTGAAAGGAGTCCAGAGACAAGGAAAATAAGTGTCTAACCGTCTTACCTTGGCGAAGCGCGTGCCGGCTTTATGGAGTTCAATTTCCCCCGTTCAGACCTGGCGTTGTTCTCCTTTCCTGTGTTCTATATTGTGGCATCTTTTTACAGCAGGCTTTTGGAGGTTCACTGCATAGGTGTTAGTCCAGAACCCGCCCTGAGGTTTCCGGGCTTGGGATCTCTAGGGTGCCATTTCGCAGGCAGCTGTTTGCCCTACACCCTCCTTTGGCGTTGGCGTGGGGAGCACTTGCGCCAACAAATCCGTGGGTGCAGAATGCTGGGCATACTGTTTGTCAGGCTGCTTGGGTGACTTTTGACACGGTGATATAGACAGTTTTCAAAGTTCTCGAGCGGGTTACTACCAGAAGTAATATTTACTGTTGTTGCCATTATGACTTTTACTAGCATTACGAATACTACTCTTACTCTTACTATTCTTACCAGTACTATTAGTACTATTACTGTCCTTACTGTTACTATTCTTACTATTGCTATTTTTATTAGCCTGTCAGAAAAGCCAACTTCAAGCAAGTCCAAGGTTACACTGGGTCTCCTCGTGCGCACAGATGTGTGGCAAACGCTACGGTGGCTCACTTTCTGTTGCTTCAGGTTTAGAGCCTAGGGTTTGGGGTGGATATAGGTACCACTGTAGGGGTATGCATTGGGAGTATACAGGGACTTTTGTAGGGATCATATAGGGATTATGTAGAGGTGAAACAGGGATCTATGGGGATCATATAGGGATTATTGTCGGGATGCACTCCCCCACGCTCCCTTAATAAGGTGGGCGCTGTTCAAGTTCAGCCGGTCGGCCCTGAGATAAGCTGCGTTGCCGATGCATCGCGTCGTCTGGCGACCTCGGACCCTTGTCGCTCGGTGAAATACGTCGAATGAGACGTAAACAACTTTTTTACGCTTGGCATACTTTATTGGAGTTTTGGTGCTGTATAGGGTGTGTTTACGTTAGATATCAAAAGCAAGAAGCCAAACATCAAGCACTTAGAGGGGCAGTGTTCAGCATTGTGCTTTACTCTCTGTCCTCTCGGTGTTGCGACAGTTTCATGAACAACACACAACAAAAGCTTTGCCCTCAAGCCCTAAGCAGCTAAGCCTTAGCAATAATGGGCTTTTCCAGGTGCCTTCAGTGCAGCACAGGCGGCTGGCCTGGAGGCAGGTCAAACCCAAAACAGGAGCCCAATGAAATGGAGGGCGAGGGTGTGCCAGAACAGTAATCAATGGAAGGAACAGCTGTTTTCGACAGCAACAATGTGAATACATCTCTACCATTATCACGACTGTGATTACTAAGTCATTGTCCTTATAAAGCTTATAGTCCCCCTCAAGTAGATAGAATATGGCTTTGGGTATATTATAATGAGATCCCCATATACCCCATCTTCTATCTACTTAAGGGGGACTATACTATTACAGCGGAGGCTCAAGAGTTCGAGCACAGCTGCGCTTCTTTGAGCCACGGGGAGGTTTGCATCAGCCACTGCAGCTTGGGCTGGGATCTGGTTGGGGATGCGTCGGTCATGAACTGCCAGAATCTAGGCGGATCTGCTGGCAGTTTTTGCATGGTATTCACGCGTATACACTTGATGGTTGCAAGACCATTATATCGTATTTTGGTATGATTATGCACTTCTGCCTGAAAACCTCTGCCGGCTCATGCTGCTGACCCATGCTACGAGAAGGCGCCTGGGCCAAAAAGCGTCGAGCACTGCCACAGCCACCAAGATTGAGCACGAGTTATGATATGTAGGTGGGTCAAACTGACGAGCATGTAGTGGTGGAGGCAGCAGAGATAGTGGTGGCGCGCATAGAAGCAACAGGAGGTGGGGCAGGGTGGGCAGCAAGCTCTGTGAGGCTGGGGGGGTTCGCCCTGCCAGGACTTCCAAGCCTTTTTCGGTTCTTGCTGAAATCAGCATAATGCGGTGTAGTGTCTGGAGGCTGTGTGATATGTACATCGTGGTATATGCCAGTTCAGCATATTCTGCAGCAAGATCTTTGAAAGCCTCTATGGTTGTGGGATGTGACTGGAAACTGACTGAGGAACGGAGCAATTTCGGGCAGTCTTCCACAGTGTTCTCCCGTGGCCTGCACCTACAATTTGCCAAGTGCGGCCGGCGTCCAACACAATTGCACCAACGTCACGACCGGGAGCACGTGCCTGGCTACGTGTACGACAGGCGGCTTTGAGTATGCATCCGGCGGCGCCACAGAGTTCACATGCAGGCCCTCCGGGGCTTTCAGTGGCCTCAACCCTACATGTGCTCGAATTCCATGTGCCGACTTGGTGCTGGCTGATCACTTCAACCATGGGTGTCGGAACAAGTTCTTCCAAGATACATGTGCCGTGACATGTGCAGCCGGCTTCACCCTTGTTGGCTCTGCTTCCCAGTACCAGTGCTCAGCAAGTGGAGTCATCCAGGGCACCGAGCCCAGCTGTGTGCCCAAGACCTGCGATAACAACATACCAGATGACTTTCTTAGCGACTGCGGTGGCATCACCACCGGCGCAGCATGCACGGTCCGCTGCAAGCCTGGCATGGTGCCAAATTCTGCACAGATGAGTTGCCATGCAACCGGAGCCTTGCTCGGCACTTTGCCAGTGTGTGTGCCCGACGCCTGCCCATCTAGCACTCTTCTACAAAATGGGGTCGGCTTGGCCCACAACTGCGAGGACGTTGTGCTCTTGACAGCAAGCATGGCAGCGACCAACAGTAAGTTCAATGATATTGCTCCGTCCCTAAATTTTCCTAATATTTGCCGAAGGGCAACGGAGCTAGTCGCAATAGTGCTCTGTATAGGAAGAAGAAGTAGATGTGCCACGAGTTGTCCTAGTATCAACAGTAGCACTACAGGCAGCTGCGGCTTTCTAGTTGCAGCAGCACAGTTGCGGTTGCAGAAATGGTGGAGTTATTTCTCCATGTCGGCCAAGTCAGTATGCTCCATACACCCCGTATAGTCACAGTCCTGCTTGCAAGCATAGCTGAAAAGGATCTGAGAAATCTTTGAAGGATGATATAGGAGATACATGGGAAACTTTGGTTAGGCTTTGTTGATAGCCTCAGCGTTCTAGACGTCTTTGACAAGTACCGGTCACAGTATTGGTGGCAACTCCTCCAGGACGTCCTCTTTGGCAGGGGCTGCAGTGTCTTCTGCGCGGCAGGGTACACGTTGACGGAGGGAGACGCCGGGGAATTCTGGCAGTGTACGCTCGATGGGAACTTGACGCTCACAGGCGCTGTCCCTTCCTGTGAGGCCATCACTCTACTAATTGTGCTTGATTGATCATCTTATTCTTGATTGATCATCTTATTCTTGCCGTATCGTAGCTGCTGTTATTACGAACTCTGTTTGCAGGTGCTAGTTGCGCCAACTTTCTTAAGAGGCATCACTGCCACCATGAGTGTGAGACGTTGCTCCTGTAAACGCCCATGGTGCCATGCATGGAGGCCATGCAATGCCCTGTCGGCTTGAACCCCAGTGAGATGCTCGTGGACAATTGCACGGGCCTGCGTATGGGAGAGTCCTGCATTCAGAGCTGCGGCCCTGGCGCCCCGCTGAATTTAGAGGGCCTAGTGCTGAGGCCGAGTTTTTGAGGCTGAAGTTGAGGGTTTGGATTTAGACATCGCCAAGGCTTTCCGGATGGCAGATTTATGGTTCTTGATTTTAGCGTGAGGGAATCAGAGTCCCGAATCTCCTGCCAGCTACAATTCTGGGCGAGAGACCCACTTGATCCCAGACCTTCTTAAGAAGCAAGCGTCAGGCTACGTTGAATCGAATTCCTCCATTGCCACATACAGCTGCTCAGTCGAGCTGACAATGGTTGGCGGCTCACAGCTGCAATGCCAACCGGTTTCGTGCATGACCGACATCCAGATCCCAAACATGGAACATTCCTGCGAAGGCCGCCCCTCACAAGGATGGAAGTCAATAGCAATAGTACTGAAGGCTCAAATAAGTCCACTGCTCATATATCCAATGTTGTTGTTGTTGTTGTTGTTGTTGGTGGTGGTGGTGGTGGTGGTGTTGGTGTTGTTGGTGTTG